ACGTCTTCTTGGATTGATTACATTCGTCAGTTCTTTCATACGTTGAAGCGTCGTACTATTCTCACTATCAATTAACAAACTCAACTCCTTTTCATAATAACTATAACTTTAATATCTAAGTAAATATAATAAACATCCTATCACTCCAAGGTTCCACTCAAGACTGCCGCACGACTACAACATACGTCACAACACTGCATAGACAATACGTCAGGACTCAGCATAAAAATACGTCATAAATAAAATGGCGGGAAGAGCGTTCACTAACTATAATAGTCAAGCGCGGGAAAAGCGTTCAACAACTAATGAACATAATATTGAGTCACAACAATTCCTAATGAACGCTCATACTCGACACCCCCCCCCACCCCATAGAAAATTTTCAGCGGGCGCCCATGCTTCTATAGGCATTAGTTAAACTTGTGAGTTCGTCAATTGTTTTTCATTGTCAAACGAAAGTAAGCAACAATGTTTAGAAGATGTGACTAGGGCATTTTAAACATATGATTGTGTTTATAATTTCAATGAAAGATGTCTAACTAGGATAGAAATTGCCTAAACTGAACCTTTTTAATTGATTGATTTGGTATTTATATCGCGCTGGTATCCATGCAACTTTAGCATGCTCACTGCGCTCTAGCCTCCAAAATCTATTTAAACAAAAATGTTTTAAAATTGTTTCTTAAATGATTTTTATCATTTACAATTCCCCTCAAAGATTGGGGCAAACTGTTCCATAATTTTGGCGCAATCGCTTCAAAAGAGCGCACTCCGTAAGAATTTGTTCTCTGTTCATCCACACTAGGAATTCTCAGTAGGTACTGTGTTGACGACCGCAGGCTATTCAAGGATACATGTTTATTAATCAGTTCCTTGAGATACTCCGGCGCTGATTAAAGATTTTAATAATTTAATAGAAATTTAAAGAACACTTACTAACACTGCAATTCTTGTAATAAATTACACAAATGGATTTGTAACAATGGTTTACTACTCAAAGTGGTTTCTACTTTTCTACACTGTCTCAGTCTTGTGCACAAATATGTTGTTTTTTTTTTCTAAATTCAATGAAAAAAACATACAAAACTCTGTGCTGCTGAACAGTTTAGTAAGCATATCAAAGTTGAGAAAAAGTATGGGCAAAAATTCTGTTTGGCTTGTATATGTATGGAACTCATGCTACAAGAGACAGTTGTTGAAAAAGCATTTTACTTAGAAAATACGCAGTGGGGCCCCCTTTAAAATTGAAATTAACAATTTAACATTCATGATAAAGTACAGAATACGAACATCGACAATGTTAAAAAGAATCGGCTAAAGAAAAACTAGCACCGCTTGCTGCAGATGTATATAGTGCCATGAATAAGTCACTGGGAACCCACCTTTCTACTAACCTAATCTGTGGTGGTTTGCAGTTTCCTTCTCTTAGATGAGCCACCATTAAAGGCTGACGAGTGTCAAAGGAGGAAACATTCAGCCCTTGTATATATTTTCTCAGAGGTGTACTTATTAATATCAACAGGGCGAGTTCCTGTGGCTAGACTTTTGGGGTTTATATATTAAATTACATATATTTCTATGTGTGTGTTTGTTGGTGGCATTTTTAGAAGTTTCGGGGGGGGGGCGGGGGAACATTTAGTAAAAGTGAAACTGTATTTACTGTCTTGAGATCACTAAGTATCCAAAAAGACGAATGACTGATCCATCAGCCTAATAATACAAGCCTTGAGATTGGCTGGCTGGTTTTCTTATTAGATAATAATATATGGCAGCTTCCATTGATAGATTACAGTGTTTTGTCATTTTTGTACAAAGTGACCTTTGTAAATTCTTAAAAAATATAGGTCCTAAGCATATGCCACACCGCATAATCACTCAAAGTGGAATATTTTGTGAAGTTTTTCACATTCAATCTCATTCAAATATTTGTTAGGACTTATTTAGGCTTCAACAAAAAATTCACTACAACTCTGCAAGAAACACAAGTTTATTTTAGGTGTCGACAAATATTGCCATCATATATTATACAATTAGCATATCTCATTTTCATAAATGTTGAGATTTCATTTTGATTCCCTAAGATTGTCTTAATTCATTCAGTTTCCTCCAATAATATGATTAACTTTAAACGTGTTAAGTTATCACTTAGTTTTTTAATATATAATTTTGCAAAGAAAGTGCAGGTCTTGTGAAAAGGCATCTGTCTCCTTGGCACCGATAGTTGACAAAGGCCCTGTCTCAAAAGGCGTTTAATGCATAGGTGTTTCCAGACTGTTAAAAATATTTTTATAATCAGATTTAGTAGATCATTTTGAAATAACAAATCCACCGTTTCCTCCACACGGCTGTCACAGAAGTTGTTCCACCGTTTCCTCCACACAGCTTGGGCGTAGTCCTTCATATATTATGCAAGAATTATCCATGTATGTGTAAGCAATAATTGTCCATTAATATGGATGCACTAATTATATCTGTATTTGTAACAGCTATTGGCCTATTTATATGTATGCACTAATTATGCCTGTACGTGTAAGCGCTAATGATCCATTTAAATTTAAGCACTAATTATATCTGTATTCGTAAGCTCTAATGGTCCATTTATATGAGTGCACCAATTTTATATGTATGTGTAAGCACTAATGGTCCATTTATTTGCATGCACTAATTATACCTGTATGTGTACTATGGTCTATTTATATTATGCACTAAATAACCGTTTATATATATTGACAAATCTTCCTTTATGTGAATGGGCATTGAAGTATAAATGTTTATTTTGTGTCCACCATTTCCATCTTTTTAATTCTCAAATGCTTCTCAATTTTGTGGGTGTATTTTTCTTGTTTAAACTTTTTATACTTTCATTGTGTCTTAAAGTGTACTAGTTGGTGTGTTGTTTAAACTTTTTTTGTAATTTCATTGTGTCTCAAAGTGTACTAGGCGGCATGTTGTTTAAACTTTTTATACTTTCATTGTGTCTCAAAGTGTAATAGGCGGCGTGTTGTTTAAACTTTTTAAAATTTCATTGTGTCTCAAAGTGTACTAGGCGGCGTGTTGTTTAAACTTTTTATACTTTCATTGTGTCTCAAAGTGTACTAGGCGGCGTGTTGTTTAAACTTTTTAAAATTTCATTGTGTCTCAAAGTGTACTAGGCGGTGTGTTGTTTAAACTTTTTATACTTTCATTGTGTCTCAAAGTGTACTAGCTGGCGTATTGTTTAAACTTTTTATAATTTCATTGTATCTCAAAGTGTACTGGGGGGCGTGTTGTTTAAACTTTTTATAATTTGATTGTGTCTCAAAGTCTACTAGGCGGCGTGTTGTTTAAACTTTTTATAATTTCATTGTGTCTCAAAGTGTACTAGCTGGCGTATTGTTTAAACTTTTTATACTTTCATTGTGTCTCAAAGTGTACTAGCTGGCGTATTGTTTAAACTTTTTATAATTGCATTGTGTCTCAAAGTCTACTAGGCGGCGTGTTGTTTAAACTTTTTATAATTGCATTGTGTCTCAAAGTCTACTAGGCGGCGTGTTGTTTAAACTTTTTATAATTGCATTGTGTTTCAAAGTCTACTAGGCGGCGTATTGTTTAAACTTTTTATAATTGCATTGTGTCTCAAAGTGTACTAGGCGGCGTGTTGTTTAAACTTTTTAAAATTTCATTGTGTCTCAAAGTGTACTAGGCGGCGTGTTGTTTAAACTTTTTATACTTTCATTGTGTCTCAAAGTGTACTAGCTGGCGTATTGTTTAAACTTTTTATAATTTCATTGTATCTGAAAGTGTACTGGGGGGCGTGTTGTTTAAACTTTTTAAAATTTCATTGTGTCTCAAAGTGTACTAGGCGGCGTGTTGTTTAAACTTTTTATACTTTCATTGTGTCTCAAAGTGTACTAGGCGGCGTGTTGTTTAAACTTTTTATACTTTCATTGTGTCTCAAAGTGTACTAGGCGGTGTGCTGGTGTTGGAATTATTTTTAAAATAATAAAAATCAGTATGCCACGCAGAAGTTACAAGGTCTTATGAAAATAACAAAAAACAAAAAAAGTAAATGGGCTTTTTTATTACTACTACTTCTTTTCTTTTTCCCTCATGGGTAAAATAAGTTAAGGAAAAAATGAGTTAATTTGTGATGTTTAAAAAAAAAAAATTTTAAAAAGTAGACAAAATTTTGGAAAACTACGAACGTTATTTTAGAACAAGAAAAAGACTTTTGAAGTCGTCGTGGAAGCTCTCTGCCTCTAACACGCGCCCAGGGTTGGACTGGGGAGTTCAGGCGGCACGCGAAAAAAACCAAAATCGGCCCATTGTTATTAGTTATTAATTATTATTATTACACTGGTCCTGGCGGCAGATCGTGAATCTTCGCGGTGTCGCGGCGCCCAGTCCACCAATGCACGCGCCTTCTTTGACGATGATGACAAGGTCCTCTGTCAGTTTCTTGCAGTCGGCAACTTCAAATTCACAACGCGAGTTGTACGTCACACCGTTGCTCGCGCAGACGGGACTATAGATGCGAGGACAAGGCTTGTCACAGTCTATTCCACGTCCGGGTATAGTGTTGGCATTGACACAGCCTGACCCAGTGATGGAGACAGAAAAAACGTTAAAATAACATTTATAAATGGTTCAGATTAGATTTTGATTTTTAGGAAAGCTTTTTTTTCCTTTTTACTTAACTTCTTAACGTATTTTTACCTTTAGATTTGACTGGAAGATACCACATTTTTTAAGGCTCAAAATGAGCTTCAGAGCATGTTCATCTTAAACAGTGGTTCTCAAACCATCCTAATGCCGCTACCCCTTAATACCGTTCCTCATTTTGTGGAGACCCCCAACCATAAAATTATTTTCGTTGCTACTTCATAAATATGTGGTTTTTTTTTTCAGATTCTCTTAGGTGACCCCAGAGAAAAACACCTTGTTAGATAGGCTAGAATGATAAGATGCAATTATTTTTTCTTTTCTTTTTTTAAATCAATAAATTTTATGAGTGTTCAATAAAATACGCAAGTAAATGCAAATTGAAATTATTGGTTAATTAACAACAAAATTATTTACCCCCTATTAGGTACGACACAGGGTGTACACTGTCCTAGACAGTATTAATTTATCATTCAATTAAAGAATGAAAGTTTTGTTGTAATTCAAAACAAGTCAATGTCTTACGGATGAAAAAAGTTCCTACTCCCCTCCTCCCCACCCCACACGACAATGAATATTTTAAAGTTACAACCTCGTTTAAACACAACCGTCAAACATCATCGTACATATAAGATCAAACCCTTGGAGGTGGAGTTTATGCATAGACTTTAAGTGCTGTACCTTCACACAATGTCATAGGAATTAATGGTATCATATTATAGTAATTTTTTTTCAGAGGGGAAAATTCCAAAAAACAAAGTAAGTAAATAAAAACACATTAGTTCTTGTCATTAATCGAAATATATTATATAAGTTCATAAACAAATATTTCAATATAATTTAAAAACACTAATGTTTACCCAGTAGTAGAACAATGGAGAAAAGCGAAAAGAAGTTCAGTGCATTCATTGTCAAGGTTAGTTATCTTTTCTTGTTCCTAGAAAAATGTAAAAAAATAATTATTTAATAAGAATGTATACGAAATATTCAGTATATATATTATATATATATAGCAATGAGGCCATCGGAATTATACAAATATGTTGTAGGATGTAATAAACTAACTGTCACAGGAATATTCATGAGGCTGGCTAATTGTTCTTTGGATGGTAAATGGATTGTTTCCAGATGCTTAAACTAGAAAATTATGAATGCACTTGTTCGAGCCCGCCCTACAATGACGACTGCAGTATGTGAAATTCCCATCAACTAAAATGAATTGTCACAACATGCACCCACGTAACGCACTTGATAAGAATCCCAATTAGTATTGCCCCCATCTCGTTTATTTCCCAATTAGTACTTCCCCCATCTCCATTAATTTCCCAATTAGTACTTCCCTCATCTCCATTAATTTCCCAATTAGTAATTCACCCATCCCCTTTATTTTTCGCTATTGAATTTTTTTTTTACGTCCTTGAGCTAAATCAATATTCTAATGAAACACATCCTTTTATTCCAAATATTTAAAAAAAAAAAAAAAAAAAAAAAAAAAAATTTTTTAAAAAATTTATTTTTTTTTTCGGCTTAAAAAAAAAAAAAAAAAAAAAAATATTACGCACCAAACGAACTTCTGGTATTTTTAAGAATCTCATTTAGCTCAGTTTTCGGAAATTTTATTTTATAAAATCGGTCACATTTGTCCGAGTAAGTGACATGTACGTGTATAAAGAATTCTTTATTTTGATTACGCAATATTTAAATTTGAATTAGGACACGTGTGTATTGTGATTTGTGTCAAGCAGGTGTCGACATCTAGATGTCGCATGTGTTTGATAGTGAAATTGTTGGCACGATTTTTTTTTATTTTTTTAAATATGGACAATTACAAAATTTGCCTTATGGTTGTCTTTCAACTGATTTTATCGTAAGGATATTTTATTTATAAAACAAAAAAACAATTCTAAGGGCTAATACCTTGGTAGTGTATGCTAGAGTTGTTATACGCAACAATGTTTTCAATTTAACAATGGGATGATCTCAACGCAATAATGTTTTCTATTTAACAATAAAATGATCTAAATTCAATAATTATTTAATAAAATTTTGTTGAAGGTTTATAATAAGCGCAAAATTTAAACACACCCCCACTCCTTACATTTTTTTTTTAACTAGAGAAAAGCCCAAAAAGAAACACACAATCATAAACAGACGATCATAAACAGCGATCTGAAGTAGACAACCCGAAACAGAATTCTGGCGTGTCAGAGAAGATGTTAGCAAGTTAAACAAACGATAATCCTAACAGAACAAGTCGAACAAAAACACTTTTTTTTTTATTTACAAGAACTCACCTGTTGAAGCTTGAAACTCGAATCAACTACAGCAGCTTTCAGATCAGCTTATATACACTGTGAGATGATCTAATAGTGCTCATTAGGACGTAATCAGATCTTAAGGCATGGAGACAGGTGCACTAATTTGTTTTACAGGTGGTTATTTTTGTTCATTTGTTGTTTTTTTATGTGTGTGGCAAAAATATACGCAATGAGTCTAATTAAATGAGTTTTGTTTTAGCTGTGTAGAGAAATCTCTGATTTTTTTATAACCATTTTAAATGGTCTAGTTTAGAACTCTCAAAAAAATATTTTTAATCAAGAAAACAAATAGTACTAATATAACTAAGTTCATTTTTTTTTCTTTCATTGGAAATCGTTTATTTTACATTTGATTTTGCTTATTTATTCATTTGAATCCATATTTTTACCCCAAAGACATTCGTTTAAACAGTGATATACAAATAAATTTTTAAAAATATATATGTATGCATGTATATTTACAAACAGAAATTAGTATTCTCTTTCATAAAACGTTAACTTAAAACAGCATTTTTTTCCTTCAGTTCTATCGTGTTAAATTGCAATTTGAAAACTCCAATAGAAGCCACATTCAATATCATCGAGGATTTTCTTTACATACAATGGGATCAAAGGACATAAAAGGACATCCATCTCATGTATATTAGCCTTATTTTTTTAGCAGAATATTGGAGTTGGGCCAACCAAGTTTGTAAGCCAACAAATTTAAACAAGGCTAGACTGAGATGTCAAATAATTATACGAGGAACAAGCTGAACACGAATACTTAAATGTATTCAAATGATATGCATCTATTTGAATGGGATGTACTCCTGTGCTTGTTTGATGTTTGGCCGCGAGCTGCTCGACTCAAAACACAAATTGACAATTAGAATGTAATGTAAATGATCTCGGCCCAAGGTCAAATGAAACCAAACAAGTCGTGCTGACTCAGCTACTGTATGTAAATTATATAGACATAGCTTATAAGTACTCATCTGTAAACAGTGCGTACAAAACAACCATTTGTACGAAGAAACCCAGGGCCTTAATAGAATCTTAGGTTAGTTTTAAAATATGAATAAACAAAAAACATCTTCTATACGTGGACGTCCGCACTTGCCCCCCCCCGC